CCCAAGTTTGCCCACACCACACGAAATCAAGTGTTTGGATATTGGAAATTGGGGAGAGAGGATAAGGTGCACCCATCCCCATCTGTACAGTAGTGGATTCTACACTGTTTGGCTGTGGGATTAGGATATTCTCTTGGACATATGCTTTTTAGGTTTTGTGCTTTCTTTTTCTTTATCTTTTTTTGATAGCACAAAATTTGAGGAATGTACCAACCCCAAAAACCCTGTGAGGGGTTCACGAAAAGTCTAGGGCTCCTTCACTCTTATCCAATCATGATTTGACATGTCTGTGCTGATGCCACTGCCACTGCCACTGCCCTGCTCTTCATTCATGCATTCTCTATCCTGTACGAAATATAGACCCAGTGTTTAGATGACATGTGGCGCTCTCAGGTCCCTCATATTTTTTGCTTTTTTCCTCTTTCTGCTTCTGATCAATTTCTTTATTCATTTACAAATATTCTGTCACCATATACTTTCACAAGGGCTTCATATTATCAGAAGAAGATTCTTTCACTGCCCACCCAGAGGAGCATGAATGAATGAGTACAATGTATGTACGCATTTTCATCCACAACACTATTATCCAGACGTGCACAGAAATGTTTTGAATCTACCCAATTAATCATATAATGTCTTCATGATTTTTGTTGTTGTCTAGAGATAACTTATTAGATTTGAGGTATGTTGAAGGAGGAACTGAAGAAATTTTGTCCGGTAGGTGATGGTTTACTCATGAAAGAAATTTATTTGATCCAATTCCCAAAATCTGGTAAGATATCAACACCTTATAACTTATCCATACCTTGAATCTATTGAGTTATTGAATCCAATCCTTAGGCACCAAACGAGTCCATTATCAAATTGCGGATTTATATTATACAATTAAACGAAAATTTATACCATACAACACTTTTATATGCGTAACACAAAAAAGAAAGGTTATATATTCATCTTATTAAACACCTCTATTCATATCATATGCATGTTAGACTAATTGGTTAGAGCAGTGAGTATGCCCACTTAAAGTAATTTAAATTATCATTTGTATTCAAATTTTATTTAAAGAAAAGAAAAAACCATCCATCCACAATTCTATAGTATAGAAACAAACCCTAAAGTCTAAAAAGGTTTAACAGTATATAAGATGTCAAATTATAACACAAGCCAACCTTTTATCTTTTCCTTTCTTCTTTATTTCCCTCTTTATTATTATTATTTTTTCTTTCTCGTCCTGCTTGAGACATAAATGCATGATAGGTGAACCAAGGTAGTTGGTGTGAGTGGTTCGGCACTCTCATTCCTTAAGAGAGGTCAGGGGTTCGATCCCTGCTCACTCTCATTCCTTAAGAGAGGTCAGGGGTTCGATCCCTGCTCTGGTACGGAGTCACCACTTTGGCCAACACTTTACCCCTTATGGGCCGACCCGGTGTGAGTGGGGATTAGTCTGGGTTGTGGTTAAGGCTTAAAGGTGCCACCCATAGTTGAGGCCCATCCAGGACCACCTCATGGTTTAGACCAAAAAAAATAAAAAATGCATGACAGGTGTCCACGGAGGATGACGTGGATCAATGGTAAAAAGTTAAAACTTCACAACTGTGTTTTCTTGTAACACTATGTGCACACATAGCTTGATGATGAGGCCATCCATCCATCACACTCAAAAAACATAATGAGAATATAAATTGAGGTCACTTTGAAACATACAGTCCACAAATTTATATAACAAATCATGGAGAAGTAATTTTTTTATTTTTATAAATTTATTTAGCATATCTCCCATCGCTTTAATGGGGACAGATGATTTCAATGGAGTTGAATGCTTCTTGCTTGACTTTAGGCTTCAAATCAAAACCAATATGAAGCTCTCACCATCATTAAAATAAAAAATAATAATAATAATTTTGTTTTTTCAACCTAAAATCAGTATGTGATTCACATTTGCTGTCACAAAACAATTAATATTTTCACGTCAACTGTTTTTATTGTATGAACCAAAACAAATCATGAAGATGCACGTAGCAGCCGAGCCATGGTCAGCAGTTTATGTCAAGACAAAATGGTCTCATTCAAACTCCGTAGAAATTAATGTTTCATGACTTTTATAAGGAACTAAAATAAACTGTTTTTTTTCCTTGCTTAGACTAGACTATAATAAAAACAAACCCAATTTGATTATTTTGTATTTAGGGGAAAATCCAATAAAATCCACTTATTTCTAGGGGTTATCCAAGTTTGGACATGGATGGATAACATCCTCATAAACTGCTAAGGAAGAAAAAGAAGAAACAAACTTCAATTATTTGTTAGCACATCATTTGATTTTATTGGTATTTTATTAGTGTTTAGATCTTCTACATATATTAAATTTTGGGTTGATATTATGCTTATAATCAAATGAATGTCACTTGATGGTATATTTGTTAAATCTTTAGTATAAAGCTTAAACGCCTGGTCAATATCGTTTGGTCGATCACGTACACATATAGCGATTATTTTTGACATGGATATAGGAGAATTTTGCACATCAAATTAGGTGATGACACATACATCAACGACTAGAAATGAATCATGCGCCCTGCTCAACTCATTGTAGCATGAAATTTAGACTCAATAAGTCGACTAATAATATTCCACACAAAAACAATAATTTTAAAAATCATGAAAGGAAATGCCCCAAGACCTATAACAACAACCAATTCTATTCCGTCTCAATATTTCATTTGCGACAAAGTGAAAAGACTTGAAAAGGAGAGGGGGATTATAATTGGACCCAAAAACAAAAACAATTAGCCACATACAAAATTAATGGTCACATTTGCTTTGTTTTTTTTTTCTTTTTCTAATCAGATTCAACATATTCTCCAAGCTAAATGGCTAAATGGCCAAAACAGGTTTATGCGGAAACCCCGGCATTTTGTGCGACCACCAGTAAGTTTTTTGATTGCCTTTGGTGTGACCAATAGGTTGCATTTGGCGGATTGTTGCTTTCCAAATGAACATTTCCCACAAAATTACCCAAATTCATCAAGTCGTAATCCTTGTATTATCTATCAAACCAAAAAAAAAGGAAAAAGAAAAAGAAAAAGAAAAAGAAATGATCTTGATTGGCTTGGCGCTTTCTAGATGGGCTTTTACTATGCAACCCTTTTGAGCCAATTAAACATAAATACTTGCATTTATTTTACTGACTCAAATTTAATACAGGAAATAACAAATGGCAAAAAAACCCCAATTAATTCTTTCAAAAGAGGACAGTTTTGTGAACCATTTGAGGAAAAAATTAAATTAACTGTTAGAACATCAGAAAAAAAGAAAAAAAAAAAAGAAAGAAGAGAAAATTGAGGTGATGAGATATTGCAGATGCTACTGTTTAGCTGGAGGATCCTCAGAAAGCCTGTGAAATTACCTGAGTCTGAGCCTGAGCCTGAGCTTCATAAATGATATATGATGCAGCCTGTGAAATCACCTCTTATTAATATTTATTTACTGAGGCGAAGGATATTTTTAGATTTGAATTACAACCACTAATTATTGTACAAGTACTTCAAACTTGAATGAGGAATTAAATATACCCAACAACAAAAATTGGCCAAAATCTTTGCTTAAATGATGCACTTGATTGTTTGTATTCGACAAGCTTCAATTGATGTCGACATTCTGTTGCTGTTTTATAAGCAAATTCTAGTACCATCTTTTTTAGTGGGGTTTTTACTTTTTTATTATATAATTTTTATTTTTAATATTTATAGAATATTTATTTATTTTTTGGATTCAGGATGTATTCTATTATGACCAATTCAAGAAGGTTCCCATTGGATTTCCAGTAGGATATAGCCAAACCATTTTATGCCACTCATTCCAATTGGATTTCGACTTCCGCTGAAAATAGATCTTAATTTACAGACTAGTGGCCATGACTCAACTTTGATAGCGTGTGTTAGAAATCACAAAATCTTCAATCCTTTGTAATTTAGACTATGACTTGTATTAAAAAAAAAGTACAGAAAATTAAAACAAAATGAACATAAAATTTAGAAATATGAAATAAATAAATATCTATGAATCCTGTAATTGGGCTCAAAACAGAGTATCTAGATAGTCAGCAGAGTGACCTGGTATTGAACCTCGCAAGCTTTGTTTTTAGTTCATGACCATTGGCAATTTGGAAGGCGAAGCGACTTGGAATTGAATTTAGCAAACTGTTGACCAAATAAAAAAGAATTTAGCAACTTTGTTCTTAATTCATTTCTATTAGCAGGCCATTCTCAGCTGCAAAGAGCTTTCAAGAAAGTTTATTGCCGTATTTCAAAAGCTTATACTTTCACTTGCATTACGTTCAAAAGTCACTTCCATTTTAATCCTTTGATCTCAGTTGTGCCCTTTTTTCTTGGGAAAGCTAGGTTGATTTATGCTGTCATTTCATGTTGACATTTTGCATGATTTGTTGGTCTTCAAACTGTAAGTAGTCTAGTCTCACTTCATTATTATTATTTACTTTATGTTGAGTTGGGGGAGAGGTTTGGCTTGGATTGATATTATAAACAATAGTATAAATAACTTCAAATAAATCTAACTTACGAGTAGGCGCATAATGAGTGGATTCACTACCCTGATCGAATGGCATAACCCACTTTTTGAGCTTGAATTGAATTCTCGGGTTAGTAAAATAGATAAATTCAGAGTGATAATAATTTGAACAAATCTATTTGATGAGTCATGAAATGTTTGGAAAGGGACATTTGAACTTGAATCCACTCATGGAAACATTGGAATGAGGATAAATATTTCTTCTTCGGTTTGAGAAAAAATCATTCAAACAAAGGCCAGAAGGCTATCGTTGGCCTACCAAACCAAAAAAGAGAAATAATCAAATCTCTATGATTCTCATTGAGACATGTACAACTGGTTGTTCAAGTATCATAATAATTAATAGATAACCTTAATAGGGGAAAATTAAAAAAAAATTATTTAAAAATAAATAAATAATGCGAGGGGCGAGCTAGAAATGAGTTTTGCTTTGCTAATTTGTAGTCAATGGTCTGCAGAGAAATATCATTTCAGTCTCTTTTTAGAGAAACTTTATTCTAATCAATTGCATATGCAGTGTCATTTTATGACAATGTTGACCAGTATCTCCGATGTTTGGTGTCGACAAGCAGGGCTACGGTCAAGTTGTTTGGTAGTTGGGTGGTGTTATAACATCATCTAGAACGTCCACTCGCAGACAGAATCTCGGCCCTTCCATTAAACAAGGCAGCAAACAATTTCAAAATATTCTCATGTTTATGGGTCAGAGAGTTGAAAGCTAACACTATTACTTGCACCTTCTCATGTTTTTATAATCCTAACCAGTAAGGACACAATGACTACATTAAAGAACTTGAGGAAGAAATAAGTAATAAGTAGAAAACAGTAGAAGAAATAGTGACATCAAAAACCCTTCCTTTCCACAAAGCTTTCAAGACCAACCACAAAAACATAAATAAAATATATATATAAAAAACCACACAAACAAGTAGGGGGGAAAGATGGTAATTGGAACTGTAAGTCAAGTTTAGAGTATTCTTTAATAGGTAGACAAAACTAGTTTTACCTGGAAACAGGAACCTATCACAAAGTGCATCCCTTACTGTTAACATCCCATTCACTTTACCCTTAATCATCTGTCATTATCACTGCCACCAAGATGGTGCACTTCTCTAATAGCAGGTCTTGAGTTCCACCACACATGGGGGGATGGAGCTCGGAGGGGGAAGGCTACGTGTATGGATCTTGAAAAAGTAGAAAGTAAGCTTCAATTGCAGTGTTCTCCAAGCAATAGGTAAATATTCCAATCTTCCAACTTCCAATGGATGCAATCTCAAATAAGTCAAAAGAAGTTGACCGCCATCTTACACCCACAAACAGTCTAGACAATTCTCCTGGAAGCAGAGCACCTAAGAAGACTTCTAAGCCCAAGTAGGCCCAGCCTTCAGACCTACATACTGGTTATTATTATGTATCAAGTTCGTAATCGTCATGTCATGAGAATTATCTTGCTTTATATTATGTTATAACTATTAACTATAGACTAAAAGCTTTAGAAGTTCTTGTCATGTGACTTTTAAATGAGCTTGTATGGCTAAGATTTCATGAAAACATATGTAATGAAGGGGATTCCAAGGTTGCTATAGCAGTATAAAAGTTCTTTTAAATACATTTCCCTATTGATTCAATGAAAATCAAATCTGAACTAAAATAGTGTTCTTAAGCTTAGCCCTTCATAGATTAATCATTCCTGATTCAATTATTAAGCTATATTCACTGTAAGCCCATTGCTTTGATTTCTATTTCTGGTGCATCACCAAAACTGCAGCAGAATTTGTTTTCTATTATAGACAAGTCTGTTTTTATTTATTTATAGAATTTGCCTCTATGCAACAGCTGCTCCCTTAATTACACATTTAGGCTACTCAAGATACATCCTTTAACAAATCCACTAATCTACTGCCGGGAAAGATGAATTCTTCCCCGTGTCAATCCTTGAGTTTTGCAAAAATCAGCAAGCATAGACGGAACTAGTAAGTAGAAATCAAATTCATCCAAGGGCATTCTTCAGTCTCTTAATTGTATATTGTCTCTTCGTGCTCAAATTCCATCACTTCTCCCCAAATCTACAATCCAATCCGAACCAAAGAATAGAAAGCAGCTACAAGCATTCTGTGTATTAAGGTTTGTGTTTGGCACATTGGATGAGGATAGGATATTTGGTGAGCACTAACAACCGGATCAAAGCCATCCCAGTGGAATTTGTAGCCCACTATAGCAGGACAACACCCCCCTCCCCCCTCTCCACCCAAAAACTACAAAAGAAAGGGATAATGCCATATAGGATTTCACCAGCTTCCTCATGGACCAACTAAACTAAACATGTGAAATCTTACAAAAAGTTGATATCCTTTCTAAAGGATGTTATATCCTAACCTCTCCTCCTACTTATGGGACGTGCCAAGTACACGCCAATGGACTGGTAGACACTATGAGAAAAACTTAACGAGATATTTCTTCAATTTCAGCACTTTCCTAAGAAAATTCAACTCTCCATACCAGTATTCCTAATGTAGAGACTTGCACATTGAGCTTATACAAAATTTGATCACATGGCAATCCATAGACACAACACATCCACACAAACATGCCGCCTTAAATATCACGTTTATTATCAGTGACAAAACTTGATTTTGCATCAAATACTATACCTCGCCTCAAAATTCTAAAACCAACAAAATCAAAAGCGTTCAATCACTAATCTCATTCAACAATGCATACCTCAAAATCTACCATTGTTTTCAAATTCATCACATCTACATTCACAAACCAAAACAAATCAAAGCAGAAGAAATTACAAAACAAATCAATTAGAGCCAATTAGAGCCAATTAGAGCATTAAAAAAACCATCCAAATCCCAAATAGTTAGATTACAAAATCCAGAGCATAGATATAACCCTCAACATATACAAAAACATAAACCCAACGATTTCCAACCAGAAGAAGAGTTAAATCACACAAAATTAACTACTTATCTTTGGTGGAGACGCCGTACTTCTCCTGCATCTTGGCGATTTCTTCCTCCTTCTTCATCTGATCAAGCTTCTTGCCCATCTTCGCCTGCTGGTAATAAAGCACGATCAGGTAGCGGTTGGCGACGTTGAAGCCGGAGAGGTGATCCACCGCCGTTTTGGCGTCGTAGATGTCCTCGTAAACGACAAAGGCAGTGCCTCTGGTGTCCTTGTTGGTGCCGATGCGTATCTGTCGTATGGCGCCATATTTGCCGAAGATATCGTACATCTCCTCGCTGGAGATGTTGAAGGGGAGATTGCGGACGTAGAGAACCCGATTGACTTCCGGGGGAAGACGAGTGTTGCCCTTTCGGAGACTGATTGCGGCCATTCGGGGATTGTTTGGAGGGCGGGAAAGCGAGGGAAAGTTTTTCTTTGGGGGAAAAAGTGAGGGAAAAGAAGGATCTGGAGTCTCGACTATTTTGTTGTCTCGTCTCATGTGTTTGATTTTCAATTGCAAAGAGTTTTTATAGGCCAGGGCCACCGACTTGGCTCCATTTTTTTTAATTTAAAAATAATGTTTGACTGTTGATGTCGAATCTGATGGTTGGAAAATATACCCCAGTTAACACAGGGGTTGATAAAAACCTTTAATTTTGTGTTGGAAATTTTCTCCCTCAATATTGCTAGTAAAAAATGAAAATCCAAATTACATTTACGACATATTATTTATTTAGAACAGGAAAAGTCTATCAATCGCGAAAATTAAAAATCTTTTTTAATTTCTTAAGTATTGAATTACGAATTTTAAAGTGAAAACTACATAATTTTTTTGATGAGTGAATGGATACAAGATATTAGGTTTGAGGTCCTTATCGTGTCGGAGATGAAAACAAATCATGATTTTTCTTTATTTGAAAGTGTTTATTTACATCTAACCTCACTTAAACACTTAAAGCTATTAAACCCTTTGTTTCTTCTTTATTTGTAGAGAGAGATAGACAAAAAACACTCATTGCAATGCTACTTATTGTCATTGGTATAAGTTATAACGAGGTTTTGCTTCCAAATTTATGAGGAAAGCTTTCATTAGCAAAACGAAATTGAAGAAGAGTATAATGATTCATGTTCGGGATTCTATTCTAGAATCTAGATAGCACACAACGGGGGCTGTCCGAAAAGCTGAAGAACACACAAGCAGAATTATTCAACCGTAAATAATTAGGACCAAATCCATGCAGTAGCTTCCTGTAGAATTTGATAAGAGTTCAAAACAAAACTGCAGACTAACAAACTACCTAACACTGTTACAATAAAGAGCTTGAAAGCCTTCACTCGCTTGAAAATTTTCTCTGCTTAGAGCTCTTAATAGGATCTTCATCAAGAAGAAGACAAAGGCTCTCCCGACAGATGGTTGCTGTGAGTGGACGCCGACGGAGCCGAAAAGCTTTTTTGAAATTCTTTTTCTCCAAATGATACCAATATAGTCTATTGTATCCTTTGCGCTCCATCATCAAAAGAACCATTTCCCTGTTCTCTGAAAACAACAAAGGCTTCCCAAGCAGGTAAATAGAACAAAGCGGGCTCCAAGATTCTGTCACTCCATTTCCCTTCATAATCCAAACATCCCTTTGAGAGTCGTATAATGTAAGACAAATACACAGATAGTCTCCCAAGACCCCCAAATCCGGCGTATAATCTTCAATGTCACCCCCATCGATTGGGTCTGGGATGGGAAACTCCCGATATTTCTCACTGGCAAGATCAAGGGTTAGGATCTTGTACTGATCTTTACCATTTAACTCTTTATACATGAGCCAACTTAGAGTACCGTTTGAAAACACCAGGTAATCTGAATATAACGAAAAGGGTAAATGGTGGAAAACCCCCCTGGACTATTTGGCTTGTCGAAATGTCCACCCTGAAAAAAAATTTCAGCCAATTTAGCATTCGTATTAAATTTAATTGTCAATTTCACCCCCGCCATTAGGTTTTCCTCAATTCCATCCAAATGGCCGTAAAAAAAATCACGTGAGAGGCACGGAAAAGATTTTGGCTTTTTTAGTCTTCAAAGTCTACTTGTTGAGCAGCCACAGCTCGAATTCAGTCTGAATATTGGGTTTTACTTTAGTTCCTCAGCTCTATGAGTTCATCTCCTCTGTTTCTTATGGGCTTTAACTCAACAACCACCTGAATTTTGGGGTTTTTCAATTCAATTCCTCTGCTTTTTGTTCCATCCACAAATGTCTTCGTGTTTCAGTGGCGGCGGAAGAACCTATGCATTTGAGCTTGACATAGTCAAATCCCCATCCACATCAACCCGAACCTCCACATCTTCTCCTTCTTCAACTCTCTCAGAATCAAGCAACTCAGGCCTCGCAATCTCAAGTCGAAAGCCCCGAACCCCTCGAAAACGCCCCAACCAGACTTTCAATGAAGCCGCCGCATTGCTCTCCATAGCTTACCCCAACATCTTCTCCACCAAAAACTTCACAAATCCTCGGAAATTCACCAAGCCCCACGACTCGTTCTTGGACCAATCTGTAGAATTGCTCTTGCCCTTCAGAGTCATCGACGACGGATGCTCCAGTTTCTTAATCGGCGAGCCAATCGGAGAAAAACCCAGTTTTCAGTTCGAGCCCAAAGCCCTGAATTCGTTCGAAAAGATGTGCCAGAGTCTAGGGGAATTCGATTTCCAGGCGAATTGTAATTCCAATTCCAATTCTATGGAGATGTGTGAAAGCTACCATCACCAAGATGAAGACTTCGATGCTGAGTCGGACGATATTACCCTCAGCAGATGACTCACGTGCCTCTCACGTGGTTTTTTTGACGGGCATTGGATGGAATTGGGGAACCCCTAACGGCGGGGTGAAATTGGCGATTAAATTTAATACGAAGGCTAAATTGGCTGGAAAAAAATTCAGGGTGGACATTTCGACAAGCCAAATAGTCCAGGGGGGTTTTCCACCATTTACCCT